ATGGCAGTTCTTGAAAAAAAATAAAAATAGAATTAGCATATGATCCAGAAATTCCACTTTTAGGGATATGCACAAAATATTTGAAAGTAAGGCTTTTATGAAACATTTGTACATTCCTTTTCTAGCAGCATTATTCGCAATAGCGAAAACGTGTAAGTAACCCAAGCGTTCACTGACAGATGAATGGATAAGCAAAATGTGGTATATCCATAAGATGGAATATAACTTAGCCTTAAAAAGGAAGGAGATTCTGACCTATGCTACAATGTGGATGAATCTTGAGAGTATTATGCTAAGTTAAATAAACTAGTCACAAGAAGACAAATGCTGTATGATTCCTCCTAGGCCTCTGGGCCTGTGATGGGAAAGGCTGCTGCAAAGGTCTGGGACATGGCCTGGAGACATTTTCTCCATTGTCTTGGAGATTAACATTTGGCTCCTCATTACTTATGCAAATTTCTGCAGCAGGCTTGAATTTCTTCCCAGAAAATGGGTTTTTCCTTTCTATTGCATCATCAGGCTGTCAATTTTCCAAACTTTTATGCTCTGCTTCCTTTTAAAACCGAATGCTTTCAACATCACCAAAGTCACCTCTTGAGTGCTTTGCTGCTTAGATATTTCTTTTAACAGATACCCTAAATCATCTTCCTCAAGTTCAAAGTTCCACAAATCTCCAGGGCAGGGGCAAAATGCCATCAGTCTCTTTGCTAAAACATAGGAAAAGTCACCTTCACTACAGCTCCCAACAAGTTTCTCATCTCCATCTGAGACCACCTCAGCCTGGATTTCATTGTCCATATCATTATCAGCATTTTTTGTCAAAGCCATTCAACAAGTTTCTAGGAAGTTCTAAACTTTCCCACATTTTCTTGTCTTCTGAGCCCTCCAAACTGTTCCAACCACTGTCTGTTACCAAGTTCCAAAGTCTCTTCCACATTTTCGGATATTTTTACAGCAGCACTCCACTGTACCAGTACCAACTTACTGTATTAGTCCATTTTCACACTGCTAATAAGGACAAACTTGAGACTGGGTAATTTGTAAAGAAAAAGAGGTTTAATGGATCACAGTTCCACGTGGCTGGGGAGATCTCACAATCATGGCAGAAGGTGAAAGGCATGTCTTATGTGGTGGCAGACAAGATAGAATGAGAGCCAAGCGAAAGGGGTTTCCCCTTATAAAACCATCAGGTCTCACAAGACTTATTCACCACCAC